ACTCTTCTCCGTCTTACTTCTGTTCCCTACGTTCTCTTTCTCTACCAACACTTTGTCGGCCACAGAATCTCTAACCATCTCAAGCAACAAAACCATTTCGTCTCCTGGTAACATCTTCGAGCTTGGTTTCTTCAAACCCTCTTCATCTTCTCGTTGGTATCTCGGGATATGGTACAAGGCAATCTCCAAGAGAACCTACGTATGGGTTGCAAACAGAGACCATCCTCTCTTAACTTCCACCGGAACTCTCAAAATCTCCGACAGTAACCTTGTCGTTGTCGATGGTTCCGACACAGCTGTTTGGTCGACGAATATCACCGGAGGAGATGTGAGGTCTCCGGTGGTGGCTGAGCTTCTTGATAACGGTAACTTCGTGCTCAGAGACTCTAACAACGAGAAACCAGATGGAGTTTTGTGGCAGAGTTTTGATTTTCCGACAGATACTTTACTTCCGGAGATGAAACTCGGTTGGGATCTCAAAACCGGACTTAACCGGTTCTTGAGATCGTGGAAGAGTCCAGATGATCCATCAAGCGGCGACTTCTCGTTTAAACTCGAGACCAGAGGGTATCCGGAGGCTTTCTTGTGGAACAAAGAGTCACGAGTGTACCGGAGCGGTCCGTGGAATGGAATCCGGTTTAGTGGTGTACCGGAAATGGAACCGTTCGATTACATGGTTTTTAATTTCACAATGAGTAATCAAGAAGTGAGTTACTCATTCGAAGTGACCAGAAGCAATATGTACTCGAGGTTAAGTTTGAGTTCCACGGGGTTACTACAACGTTTCACTTGGATTGATGCAATACAGAACTGGAACCCGTTCTGGTTCGCACCAAAAGACCAATGTGATGATTACAAAGAGTGTGGACCCTACGGTTACTGCGACTCCAACACGTATCCGGTTTGTAACTGTATGAGAGGGTTTGAGCCGAGGAATCCACAGGCGTGGGGTTTAAGAGATGGGTCTGATGGTTGCGTGAGGAAGACGGCGTTGAGTTGTGACGGTGGTGATGGGTTTGTGCGGTTGAAGAAAATGAAGTTGCCGGATACTGCGGCTACTAGTGTGGACAGAGGTATTGGGATTAAAGAATGTGAAGAGAAGTGCAAAAATGATTGTAATTGTACGGCTTTTTCGAATACGGATATCCGAGGTGATGGATCGGGTTGTGTTGTGTGGACCGGAGAGATTTCGGATACCCGAAAATATGCTAAGGGTGGTCAGGATCTTTACGTTAGGTTGGCTGCTGTTGATCTCGGTTAGTTCATTTCTCCTTTATATAATTAGATGTTGAGTATACAATTTTAAAGGATACAATACATGGAGAAGATCAATAAAAAATAGTGTTAGAGGTTTGGTATTAATCTGTTGGAAAGAAAAAGTAGGTTGAATTCATATAAGGAAAATAGTACAGACAGATGCTTTATGGTTTTCATTTCTTACAATCGTTATCTTTGTAACGGTTGTTAGAGAAGGACAGAGTTTAGAAGTCACAACATAACGGCTGAAATAAAATAAAATCATATGATGTGGCTATCGGTATTTCAAAGAAAAAGAGAGGATCATATTATGTGGTTTTAAACTTGTGAAGATTATGGAATTGGGGCCAAAACTTTTTATATTTCTGATGCCCCTTTGGAAAAAAAACCGTTTTGTATTAACCTCGCTTGTGAATAATGCGTTTTTCTTCTTTTGTTCGGTAAAGCGTGATACTTGCATTGAATATTGCAGGTCAAAGTTACATTGTTATTGTTAAACAGACTTTGAATTTAGCCAAGTGTTTGTAGTTTAATAGTTGTCTTTCCCTTCTTTTTAAAGTTGATAGAGATGTTGGTTTCTTTGGTCCTTGCATATATGCGTGGACTTTGGAATCCAGGTAAAAAAAATTTGGAAGCCATATAATATTTATTTTTGGTAAAAGTTCCACATAAGAATTTCATACCTTATAAGATTTTGGATGTTAGTACATATATTTTCCGACGATTTGCCTAACTTTCATATAAGATTTCATACCTTAGTAGATATATTTTCAAACATTTAATCCAATATATAGTAATATAATTTTTTGATAAATAAGAAATCTGAGTCTACTGAACTTTAATCATTTTACAACTTACCATATTATTCACAAAAACTTTTATTTCTCAATTTTGTAAAGTATGGTTTAAGATCCAATACCAAAAAAGGAAAATGTCTTTAGGTTGATTTTGTTATAAACTCACAAGTATGGTAGGATATTAACAATAGTATATCTCTTTCACTACTTCAGAGAAGACGGGGAACCGAAGTGGAAAAATCATAGGTTCATGCATTGGCGTGAGCGTTTTGCTTCTTTTAAGTTTCATCATCTTCCGCTTATGGAAAAGGAAGCAGAAGCGATCAATATCAATTGAAACATCTTTAGGTAATTCAGTAACTTTCAGTTCATTTATTTTTGTATAATTTTTGTTGTGATAATAATATATCTGATATTGTTTATCTATTTGAGTAAAACAGTTGATCAAGTGAGAAGCCAAGATTTGCTGATGAACGAAGTGGTAATACCTAGTAGGAGACATATATCTAGAGAAAACAAAACAGATGATCTCGAATTACCATTAATGGACTTTGAAGCTGTTGCCATTGCAACTGACAATTTCTCTATCGCCAACAAGCTCGGTCAAGGTGGTTTCGGTATAGTTTACAAGGTAAACATTTTTGAAAAACTTTTAATTATGAAAAAAGACTTTGTGGTTTATGAGAATGTGTGGTAGTAGGGTAGGTTACTTGACGGGCAAGAAATCGCTGTGAAAAGACTGTCGAAAATGTCAGTACAAGGGACTGATGAGTTCAAGAATGAGGTGAAACTCATTGCAAGGCTTCAGCACATAAACCTTGTTCGTCTTCTTGGATGTTGTGTCGATGAGGGCGAGAAGATGTTGATCTACGAGTATTTGGAGAATCTAAGTCTTGATTCTCATCTCTTTGGTTAGTGCCTCAATTTCTTAATGCTCTGTTTAAATCTTTTTTAAGTAAGTTTTGACACATTTTCGGTTATGATTGTTTGTAGACAAGACTCGAAGTTGTAAGCTAAACTGGCAGAATAGATTTGATATAACGAATGGTATTGCTAGAGGACTTTTATATCTTCACCAAGATTCACGGTTTAGGATTATCCATAGAGACTTGAAAGCGAGCAATGTATTGCTTGATAAAGATATGACTCCAAAGATCTCAGATTTTGGGATGGCTAGGATCTTTGGACGGGAGGAGACAGAAGCTAATACGAGGAAAGTGGTGGGAACTTAGTAAGTATATCACTGTCTAAACATTAAAGTGTTGTCTTGTAACCAATTTTTAAAATGAAATAAAATTTGAGTATAATCTTTGTTATGCAGCGGCTACATGTCTCCGGAATATGCGATGGATGGAATATTCTCTACAAAATCTGATGTTTTCAGCTTTGGTGTTTTGCTTCTTGAGATCATAAGTGGAAAGAGGAACAAAGGATTCTACAACTCTGACCATGACCTAAATCTTCTTGGTTGTGTAAGCTTTAAAACCTCTTAGAACCCTACCTTGCTTCACACTCAAACTCTGGAGCTAAATGTATTTAAACTCTGTGCACAGGTGTGGAGGAACTGGAAAAAAGGGAAAGGGCTAGACATTGTAGATCCGACCATCTTAGATTCTTCACCATCAACGTACCGTCCACTTGAAATCTTAAGATGCATAAAGATTGGCCTCTTATGTGTTCAAGAACGTGCAAGCGATAGACCAACGATGTCATCGGTGGTTATGATGCTAGGAAGTGAAACAACGGCTATTCCTCAGCCTGAACAGCCAGGTTATTGCGTTGGGAGAAGTCCTCTTGACACTGACTCATCATCGAGTAATCAGCGGAATGATGAATCTTGGTCTGTGAACCAGGTGACTGTGTCGGTCATTGACCCTCGGTGATGTCAGATTCATTGGGTCAATCTGTATTGTTAAAACTGAGTGTTTCAAGTATTGATTGTCTAACATGGTTTGTAACTTGCATAGTATTTTTCTATGTATGTACTACATGGTCCAATTTTCCTTTTTTTTAAAGACTAAGAAATTATGTATCTTAGGGGTCCATACATTCTATTAGAAACAAAATTCAAACCATGCTAAATTAATTTTCATTTAGAAGACATACTTCTCTAAACAAGATTTAAATTTATAATTCCTTAAAACTTTTAAAACAATAGATTAATTTCATATTGGTTGTTAGTACATGTCAAGTTAAGCTTCTATTTTACATGTTGCCGTTACGTATTTGATCAACGAATCATGATTCTCACAAAACTCACAATAATGTCATGCACAAATCGATTTTGAATCAAAGAAAACACCGAATTTGTCCATGTATAAACATAACAGTTATGAGTTTATGTTCGTATAGAAGGGTGATAAGTACATTTATTTGAATAGACCTGTCAAACTGTTTAAGACAAGTGTCTGGTTTGGGAATAACAACCGAACGTAGGGTAGGTGATTAGAGCCACTGTAAAACAAACAAACAAAACTATGCTCCTATGGACATTAGGCTAAGGATCCGCACCTTCAGCCCTTTCACGGGGATCACTATCCACATCACATTAACACCGTTATGATTAGCTTTCCAGCACTCTACTTCGAAATATAGTTAAAAGTAATCTTAAAACCTCAAGATACCCCTAAAATTTTCAAAACATCTTATTTTTGGAAACAAATTAAATCTTTTAAAACATCATCTAATTTGAAACGGGTGGAATTTATATAATTTTACATATTTTCGCATTAAAATACCCGCACGATTGTGCGGGTCGAGATCTAGTAATTTATTAAATTTATAACTTAAAAGTTTTGTTGTACTTAATTTGGACTAAACATAAATGAAAGTGCTAAGAAGTTTACTATACATAATAAACTTTGAGAAAATAAAAAGTCTCTGCTTTTATAAGAGTCGTGAATCATGGTGATTACGCCTAAATTTTTGACCGGAAAAAAAATACACAAAGGGGCAATATCGTCAACTCAAACAAAAAAAAACCATTTCTGCAAAAAAGCTTCACGGTCCACAACAACACGAGCCCCCTCTCTCTGCTTCTGCAAGAATCTTATAAACCCTTTTCTCTGTCTCTTCTTCCTCAAAGCTTATCTCTTTTTTTTTTTCCTCTCACTCGAAAACCCTTAAAAAAAAAAAAAGACTCCAACTTTTCAAAAAAAAAAAATGGCCTTCGAGCTACCAAACGATTTCAGATGCCCGATCTCCCTCGAGATCATGTCCGACCCGGTTATCATCCAATCGGGTCACACTTTCGACCGCGCCTCAATCCAAAAATGGATTGATTCCGGCAATCGGACATGCCCAATCACCAAACTCCCCTTGTCCGAAAACCCTTCTCTGATTCCAAACCACGCGTTACGAAGCCTAATCTCGAACTTCGCTCATGTCAGCCCCAAGGAGTCGCCACGTCATCAGCAGGAACACTCTCACTCTCCGTCTCAACCCCTAATCTCCACCCTCGTCTCCCGATCGTCTTCCCACGAGTCAAAGCTCGAGTCTTTGACCCGACTCGTCCGTCTCACGAAGCGTGACTCGTTGGTACGGAGGAAAGTCACCGAGTCGGGAGCGGTTCGCGCGGTTCTCGACTGTGTTGACTCGGGGGACGAGGGTTTACGGGAAAAGTCTCTGTCTTTGCTTCTGAATCTGAGTTTGGAGGACGATAACAAAGTGGGTTTGGTCGCTGACGGTGTGGTGAGACGGATAGTGGCGGTTTTACGTGCCGGGTCGCCGGGTTGTAAAGCGGTTGCCGCGACTCTGTTGACGAGTTTGGCCGTCGTGGAAGTGAATAAAGCGACTATTGGGGCGTATCCTGACGCAGTGCCTGCTCTTGTTTCTCTTCTGAGGGTTGGGAGTGAGAGGGAGAGGAAGGAGTCCGCGACGGCTCTTTACGCTCTTTGTTCGTTTCCGGATAATAGGAAACGGGTTGTGGATTGTGGGTCGGTGGGGATTTTGGTTGAGGCGGCTGATTCGGGGTTGGAGAGGGCGGTGGAGGTTTTGGGGCTTTTGGTTAAGTGTAGAGGAGGGAGAGAGGAGATGAGTAGAGTGAGTGGGTTTGTTGAGGTTTTGGTTAATGTTTTGAGGAATGGGAGTTTGAAAGGGATTCAGTATTCGTTGTTTATTCTCAATTGTTTGTGTTGTTGTAGCAGAGAGATTGTTGAGGAGGTTAAGAGGGAAGGTGTTGTGGAGATTTGCTTTGGTTTGGAGGATAATGAGAGTGAGAAAGTTAGGAGGAATGCTACTAACTTAGTCCATACTTTGCTTGGGAATCCAATGGATTCTTGATTTTGGGAGTGTGAGAAGAATGGAAGTTTAAAGGATCAGGTTGTGGTGGTGGTGGTTTTGGGGATTGTAGTTCTGTTGTTTTGTGTTTGTCTGGTCTGAGTATGGAGGTAAGTTGGGGGTCTCCTCTTGTAGTTCATGTACAAAGGAAAAGAAGAACAAAAACAAAAAGGTTTAGGTTTTCATCAAAGTAAAATGCAAATGCTTTTGAAGGTTTTCGTTTTATGTACATTTAAAGAAATAAAAAAAGGATCATACAGATAAGTCTTCTTCAAGAAAATTGTAATCTTTCACCATGTTTTGATCAGTTTAGCATTTCATTTTCATAGTGTTTAATCACTTCTGATAGAAGGCTTCTATGTTAAACCTAACCCTTTGTTGCAAGTATTCTTACATGAACCAATAGACACTGCCTTTTACCAGTCCATTTTTAGGTATCATGGTGCCTAAAAATTTCAATATAATTTCTAGTGAATAGCAACAGTAGTGATTGCATTTTTGGCTGGTTTGGATTCACTCAATTTAGGTACATACTGTTTGCTAGTTGAATCACTGTGTTGGTATATGCAGAAACAGTGAGAATCATTACCTCTTACTAATCAATTTATTCTGAGCACTTGATTGATCTATTTGGTTTTCTGTAAGCATTCATGGAATCAAGAAATTAAATCCTACCATCTTTTTTGATAGCATCCTAAGAACTTTGATGATTCCATAAGACAAACCTGTCTTTGTACTCCAACAGTCACTGAGACAAACCAGTTAGTGTACTTTATGATTCTTGTCTACTCGAATTAGGATTATTTTTTTAGTTTCGATTGTGGCGTGCTCGTAACAAAAGCATAGTATATCGTCTGCAATGATTTCATTCTACTACTAAAAAAGTATGTTTTTTTCTCTTTCTGTTGACTCTTGCCTTTTTGTTCTTCGGAAACAGTGTTTAAATATGATTGTTGTATGTTTTTTATTCAATCATATGCCTTGATTTGAGGGCACACAAACAAAACAAAACAGACAGAGTTGTGTCCTTTGAGTATCATCAAGGGAAGCTGCTTTATTAAAGAAATAAAATTTTAATTGAAAATCTCTTTCGTTGAGATAGTAAAGGGTATCCTGATCAATAGTATTTATATGAGTTTCCTAAATCTATATATAATAGCAAAACATCAGTATTTTTTATAGGAAAATAAAATGATGATCTTAACGGTTCAAATTGATTTGGTATTTTAATCTAAGGGTTATTTTTTCTGTAGAAGATGTCATCTTTTGTTTTAAATAGAAGCTTTGTGTTGGTATAGGTAGCGAAGCATTGTGTTCGTTCGTAAATGGAGTTGTGACTCCTCATTCGCATCTCTTCCTCAGTATATATTTGATAATCAGTTTGCTCCTTGTATTCAATAATTGGAATTGTGACTGATTAATGTTCCATTGTTTTATTGACAAGAAGAAACCGGGGTACAATCGCCTCCAGTGAAGAGTTTATGTTTCTGGAAAAATTGCTCAAATACCAAATTTGAGAGAACGATAAAAGACAAATACAAACTATCTGGTCATTATAATTACAAACTTAACTAATACTAATAAATTCATCTTCTAGACACGATCGAAAACAGCCATCTTCTTACAAGACAATCTTTTAAAGTATATTATTAGTTCTTCCCAACAGAAGCTTTGTGTCGGTAGTGAACCATTGCGTCCGTTAATGGGGTTATGACCCTTGTGGTTCACATCTCTTCCTCTGTTTATATCTGATAACTATCCCTCTTTTTCTCACTTTTTTTTTCTATTCCTAATCTCTGATTCGATTGTTTGATTAAAACAAATTTTGTCTCCCAATCATCCTCCATTGATGATCATTGCAGTTCCCATTGACATTCTCGATCACTGAAGCTTCCTTTATGAAGATAAATCTTCTGAAACTTTTGGATCTATTTTTTGTGTTTAAAGTTAATGGTCTTCCCGTATGAATATTTTGTTATTTAGAATGATTACAGTCTTTGATTAATTGAGAACGATAATTCTTCAGTCATCCCATTCTTTCTGTTTTAAAAACTATGCATATTATGGAGGTATGTGTTTTTTTTATGTCAAAACCTAGCTGAAAATAATTATATATTTTAATTTTTTATATCTATATTTATGGTTGTTTATTAAGAGAGGAGACGTCAGAAACTGCTTGACCTAATGAGTATGCATGTTTGCGGTTCAGAAATGAGAGGAGAGGAGAAGAGAAGAGAAGAGATGAGTGATTGATCCAACGGGCTGGCAAATAACACTTTTCGGGTCCAGAAAAAATTGAAGCCCAACCAACCAAGAAGGCGCTGACTTGGCATCACGAAACAATTCCATTGGTCGATTATAAATGCTGATGTGGATAGCTCCATAAGCCTTTATTAAGAACTTTTAATAGTATAGATGTGTTTTTTTATGTCAAAATGAAAGGATGCGTTCTTTCAAATAAATAATTAAAAAAGTGTTCTTTTAAGAATGAAGTCATAACTAAGACCATTAACTTTAAACACCAAAGTCACAACTCTTAATGGTGACTTTTCACAGTACTACGGCAGAAACCGACACTGAAACTATACGTGTTTGTGCACATGTTAAATAAAATTTCAGAAAACAACCTTTTCAAAAAAAGTTCCAGAAAATGACATACTTTTTGCATGCATGAATGACACTGATCACTGGGTTATATTATATCTACGAACCTTCCCACCAATCAACACAAACCAGTTATTACTTGAAAATAGGTAGTTACTTAAAAATCTGGTTTCCCTATACATTTCTTATATCGCATGCATGCGATCACATTGCCAACATAACGTACGGTTATGAATATAAGTCTTTAACTATATATTTTCAAGCCACTATTGTTTCTGCTATGGCTTCTCTTAATCACTTAAAGATATGTAAACACAATACCATCATTTTCCCAGACTGTCTTTTCGTTAAGAAAAATAGTGACTGACACATATTATTAAACTGTCGTGTTCGTTCTCAGACTTGATCGAATGTTCTGTAATGATATGACGTTTACTATGCCGTCCAACTTACGAGAACTTACGTCTACTATAATGTGACGGTGACTTCGCCAGAAGAGTGAAGAAGAAGACGTTTACCGGTGCCGGCCGATGACCACATGAATTTTTTTTAAAGTGGCCAGCCGATGACCACATGTATTTTTTTTTTTTAAGTTTCTACTTTAGATCAATATATAAGATCATGAAAAGGTACAATGTTGCTACTCTAGAAAGAATGTGTCGTTTGAGAAGGAGACTTTTGAAAGAGGAGTTGTGATTTAAACCAAGAAAGTTTAAAACCGTTAGAAAATAAAACAGACAATTATGATCGTCAGACCTTCAAATTGAAATGGTGTGACACTTCTAACAAAATGTTTATACAAGTCAATATATTTTTGGAAATACTATTGGTGCAGTCATTACCTAAGGTTTGCACCCATGGGTTGGTCGTATACCAAGTTTTTTTCTTGAAACATTATAGTGAAAAAAACTTTACAAATCAGTTTATGGTTATATAAAAAAGACCAAGNAATACTATTGGTGCAGTCATTACCTAAGGTTTGCACCCATGGGTTGGTCGTATACCAAGTTTTTTTCTTGAAACATTATAGTGAAAAAAACTTTACAAATCAGTTTATGGTTATATAAAAAAGACCAAGAAAAGAAGAGCTCACCCGTGTAGGGTCTGTTTCCATGAGAATTTTCTCCTTTTCAAGAACCTCTCTAATGCGACGTAGTTTTAGTCTCTGTATAACATTGATCCTGTACAAACTCTTCTCTAAAAACTGACACACTCAATCTCCAGCTACATTTTTTTCTGCCGAAAGTAATTGTAGAAATAATCTGAAGAAGAAGAAAGGAAATAATTCTGTATACCAAATTAATTAACTAATAGTTATGGAAATCTAAATTTTGTAACTTTTCAAATGAATAGACGTGACTATTTGCAGTGTGTCTTTTGGTTCTTTCATGTGTATATATATGCCACACGGAAATTAAAAAAGAAAAAAAAAGGAAAACATTTAGTGACTGTTGATTTGTGTCTTAGAATTTTCTCGTGATTCTTACATTCATTTATAAATCAAATCTAATCATATTCATCATCAACCCATGCAAAGGGTTCATGATTCTTACATTTATTTTTAAAAAATCAGATTCTAGCCATACAGTATGTGTGCGGTTTGCATATTTTGCCAAAAAATCTTTTAATTATAAGCGAAAACAATGCAACTTCTATATATCCAAGCATTAACTAAATTTATTTTATTTTATTTTATTGTCTATTCAAATGTTTTTGTTTTGTCTTATTGGTTTGAGTTTCCATTTTTTGTTTTATTGGCAGAGCCGGACTTGACCCTACTGCAATTATATATATATATATGTATATTAATGTAATTATATATAGCACATACTGAACATAAAAAATAAATTAGTTAAAAATCAGCAGGATAATAAAATATTAAATGTGTCACACATTATTAAAATTTATATAAAGATAAATTTAATAATAAAATGAAAATATCATTACTAATTAAAAAAAAATCATTTTAAGGATATAAGTCAATTTAATTTTTTATTTATAATGATTTCAGATAACATTTGTTATATTATGGTTGTAAAATTTGTGAAACTATTAATTATTTTATATATTTTTTAGTTTTGAATAGGGCCCCTGGAATCTACGAACCGGCTCTGTTTATTAGTCTAAATTTACGTTGTCTTTCCCTGATATTTTGTGTATTGTCGAAAAAAAGTATTTTGTGTATATGCAAAAAATCTATTTCCATTATTTCTTCAGTATTAACTACATCATTTCATTTATAAAATAAACATTTTTCAAGTTAACAATGTTTATAAAAAATTTGATGGGTTTCAGATAACCAAAAAAGAACCGAATGATACCTGGAGACTTTTCAAGTATTTATTTGGAGATATAAAACACTATAGTATAACCAAATTGAACCTGCTTAAAAGGAAACCTGCAAAATATGAACTGATACTCGTTGGGTATGTAAGTCTAAAACTACTCTACTCTTTTTTTAAAAAAAAAATTCATAATAGGTATTTTAATCCTAAAAACTGTACGGATTTTTAATGAGTTGTAATATATATATATATATATATATATATATATATATATATATATATTTGAAAAAATCTAAAATATTTCTTTTCGTTCTCTAAAGTTTATTTATTTTAAAGGGTTGTCAATGTCTATGTATTTTTATCTTAAAATGCATATATTTTCAGAGATTTTGCTTTTCATTTATTTTATATATATTTTTAAGGGTTGTCAACCAGTGACATATTTAGTGATAATCATCACAACTATTGCTAATTGTAGTATTGATGATAAATCATTGTAATTTTTGGTGTTAACCATTGTATTCATTATCTAACCATTGTAATGTTTGGTTATCAACCATTGCAATGTTTAGTCATCTATATAAGGAGTTGTGGACTTTAACAAATCACAACAAAAAATTAACAATCGCAAATAGAGTTAAATGGAGAAATTTAATGTTAAATGATTTTCACAGAAGTTTGAAGAAACAAATATAAACATAAAGATTAATGTTAAATGATTCTATTTGTTATTTTTGTATTTTAGTCCAAATTTTAATAATTTGATTGAGAAACCGATGGAATTTTAGAGAATTTATATCTTAATATACCATCTTATCCTAAATAGTATTTAGAGATTTTATTTAATTATTGTGTTATAATAAATGTTAGTGTTTTATAAGAACTTTCAAAATTCAAAGTCATATTATAAATGAGATAGATCATATCAACATAAGTCAACATATATTCGGTATAATATCCAATGTGACATATTCTTATAAAATGAGTTTTCAAACGATATTTTTACAAAACGAGCTCCCGTGCGATATCGCACGGGTTCCTTTCCTAGTAATAATAAAAATATATGAAAAAGAATATAAAGAGAAGAGACTAGACAAATATTTGTCTTTTGACTAACTTTTTCATTTATAGTTTAATTGAAATTAAAGTAAATCAAATGAATACTATTTTGAAAAATAATATAAATATTGATTCTCTAATTTAATTGACAAAACACCATTTAATTTGTCTCTCTAAAAATCCACAATATTCTATTTATAAAGATTTTGATGGGTTTCATGGACACGGGACGTGGAAAATAAATAATTTGTGTAATGGAATTAAAAAATTTAAATTTTATTACGCATTTTTTGTTTTTTCGTGGAAAATAAATAATTTGTGTAATGGAATCACGAAATTGTGAAAAAATTTAAATTTTATCACGCATTTTTGTTTTTTCCTGCCGTTGAAACGACATATAATTGAACATAAACATAAAATAGTATGGATGGTAAAAAATCTGCAAAATCATAAAATAAATTCTTTCTTTTTGGGTGGTCTCTCTACAACTGTAGGAAATAAGCCAACGAGATACTACATTTCATAAACAAACTAACATCAAAATTTGCAACTGTTACAAAAAAACAAGTTTTACGTGCGTACATGTATAATAATTTTATATAATTGTTATATTGTAAGTTTGTAACCTTTTAGTTCCAAAACTTAGATGAGTCCAATATGCGGCGGAGAGGTGGAGAAAGTACTTGAAATCGGCATCAGACAAAGACCACGGCTTCGAAGATCTTGTCTTAGACTAGAGTCTTCATCAACATGAGTATTATTGTATGAACACTAGAATTGAAAAAAGGTTATGATTAGTGAAGCAAAAGAACAAAAAAATAAACTACTTCGTTAAATATAGATTATAGAGTTGTTTAACCGTCAGGATTAAGTACCTGCTTCTGTTCACCAGATCCTCTAGAGTTCAAGTATGGATTAGTCGAGACCTGTTCAGGTATAAAATTATTTTAGGATGATAATTAATTTCTATATGAGGGTAAATAAAAATTAACATATTTTCATTCTTGGTCTAAATGTTAGGCAAAAAAAGTAAATATTATGAGATGAACTTACAGTGATTTGTTCATGAAGAAACTTGATGTACTCTACAGCATCATGTAGGACAGAAGCAGTGTCTGTCTGCAGAATTATCAGAAATCAATAATAATAATTGAGCAAAGAAATAATTAAAAAAATTATTCAACTATAAGGTTAATTAATTCAAATATTAATACAAGTTATAACTAATGATGAAGGACACCAACCTTGCCAAAGGGTGAAACTAACTGCTGAAGCGCGGTGATTCGATCTCCGAGTTTCTCTTTACGTACCTTCTCAATCAAAACAGTTTATCAGAATAAAATATAGAAGTAACACTTTAGAAAAAGAGTTAAATGTAAAGTACTTATATATTCAGTTACAAAAAGGGACCAGATAAATTTGTGCAAATGTGAGTGAATAAATTTCGTTTACTAACTTTGAAGCTAGAACTGTGATAGTGTCTCGAGTCTTGGCCTTTTCAGTGGGTGTAATGACTCAATATCTTCGAGGTCTTCAGTTTTTTCACTAGCTCTCTGAAAATATTTCACAACATTAGATCTACAATTAATGTAGATTGAAATTTTCTATAATGAAAGAAACTAAACATTACGTACTTGGCAAGTAATTAGACTCTTCCAGGCTTGTAGTTCTTCCTCATGTTTGTCTCCAATCTCGTGATCAAGGACTGATATAGTTCTTGATTCGTCCGAGATAACGTCATCGAAGAAGTGAAAGCTTTCGAGTAGTTCTGGTTTCACACTAGAATCAAACAATTCCTCTAAGAAACTATTTATCGGATCGAACCTTTCTTCTTGTCTGGAAAAATAAAGAAAAACAAGGTTGAGACTCAAAACCATTACTTTGCATCACATAAGATATACATATACACTTACTGGTTATAATGGTTCCAAGGATTGACTTGTGAGGTGTAATCAAGATTTGTATTTCTTAATAATGTAGAAGTATGGCTCTTGTCATAGGTTTTGGCATCGAGGTTATCATTGTTTTGCCATTCGAATCCTTCGAAATCCATGGATATTTCAGGACAACGGTGCAGAGAGCAGTCGGAGAACATGCCGTTGGGAAGGCTCCACCATGTCCCGGTGCAGATGCCAGCGGTTTCGAATTCTTCAGTCATGTCTTGCTGGTTAAGTAAGTTATTTGGTTTAGGTTTGTTTCTTCGAAATATTGGAGTTTGAATGAAGATTATGATGTCGATGATCGGTTTGCATTTATAGGTGACGATGAGGTTTATTTAGTCAACAAACTTGGAGATATTTATTTATAAAAGAAGGGTCGCAAGAGTTTTATATGTTATCGGCATATTCGGTTGATAATAGATTAAGCTACATAATCCATGATCATGCGACAAAATTTGGTATCTTACCGGCCAGGAGATTAGGTCATAAGCACATAAGTTAAAAGACATTGTTTAACCAACGTACGTAAAATGTTACTTCTAGTTTTGATTTAGTAATTAAAGGCATATACTAATGTGAGTTGGTGACCATATTAGTTTATCTAGCATTATACACAATACATACTTTCAAACCTTTCCATTAGTTATTAAAATAATTATTGTTACTAAATTTGGAGTGAGATGGTAGACTATCTTACATTGGAGGTATTTGACGAAAAATGTTTAGTGTGCATGTAAAATTGTCTAAGGTAAAGAAAAACAGGTTGATAATTGTTTTTTATTCACTTGTGCATGTATGTATTTCTAATTAATCATCCATGATGTGTTCTATATATTTTCCTTGCAAAATTATGTAATTTGTTTTGGGGTTTGATGATTCAAATAATTAGATATATCTTATTTGTATATGCATCTTAACAAAAGTGACGTCACCGTTTTGCATATAAATATAGAGATATTCGGTATATGAATACGTACATACAAAATAAAATGGAGAAGATATATAAAAAGAGAGTCAACATTACCAAATCCATTGGCAAAAGAGTTCTAGCCCACACAAAACAAAAGTGGAGTTTCTTGTTTTCGGCTAGTTTTTTTTTTGAGCAGCCATTTATTTCATACATAGTAGAAATGGTAAATAAATTGGATTACAAGTGGAGTTTTTTTTCTATTAGGAAATGACTAACGAATTGTTGGCATTTCAGTATATGATCAGTATAAAATATACTTGTATGTATATACTATATGGATTAAGCCATATATACACCCATCCACTCGAATTTACTTAGACGTTGTTTAGTCTAACCTTCTTTTAATTTCAGAAAGATCCCCAAAATTTTCTTTCCTCATATATATGTATGCTCATGTCATATGGTTTGACTCCACCAATGATTCTAGTTATTTGTTTAGTTGGTATATACATATACATTAGCATTTGTATTTGAAGTCTTGTTGTAGTGAATTAGGTTACGCACCAACTTTTATAAAAGGAATTCAACTGATTAATGTGTAAGACTTTTAATATAGATGTATATAGTGTATGTGTAGAAATTAAATTAGAAAAATAAATATTGCTATTGTAATTCTATGGTAATATTTTTTTGTTTTAGAAAATAAAATTTTTACATCTATTTTTTATCTTTTTGGTTTTAACTTTAAAAACTATTTAAAATATGATCGATGATTTATATGGTTGTAGATATATACTAAAATTAAAACCATTAATTTTGATTAATTGGGTGCACAAAAAAAAAATCTATCTTTTGATTAAAAAAGTCCATAATTACAACCTTTTGTTTTCAGAAGTTTGTTCATAAGTCATTCAGTCTCCTATAAAACCCTCTTAGATGAATTCCAGGTTTTGATTCCAAATCATTGATCACATATTTCTAAGAAACTGGTTACGATCTATGTTTTTTCACAGGTCACAGCATCACAAGAAAAGGAAAGTAGAAGCCTCTGAAGAAACCAGAAGGTTCAATCAGCATTGTATTGTATTAAGACAGAAACAGAGGATGATCAACGACATTTTGCAGAAACAAATGAGATAAGATGAAGCTCTGTTTCATTCTGAATCATTTGATATTAAACTGGACTTAAACAATGGAAATTTTATTTGATCGAAATCTCTAAGATGCACTCATGGATTGCTTCTCATGACTTCCAACAGAAAGTTCTTTGTCTGTTCAAGATCAACATCAGCACATAGTCCCTGAAGTATCTGAACAGAGGAACAAATAATAATTGATCCATTTGAAGAAGCTAGAGTAATGTCAATGATCTCGAATCCCAACAATGACATAACATCCATGAATTTAGTAAAGATCCCAGGTCTCTTCTCTGTTGTGATCTTCAACCAAAAACTCCTCTCCCCAATCTTACACAACTGCACATTCTCCTGTCAGAAATATTAAAAAGAAAAACCATCAAGAAACATAAAAAATAAATTAAAGAACCTATTCAAGAACATATTAGAGAAACTAAGTAAAACACCTCTATTCCGATTTTCTTCATCTCCTCTTTCAAATTAACAGTTTCAGCTTCAGGTTTAATAATATGATATGTTTGTTGCTCATCAATCTCAAGAGGAGCTTCTTCCATTTCATGAAGCTCCTCTGTAAGATTCTGAACTATCTTCTGAAGCTCTCCTATGTAAGTAATCGAGTCTTCAACAATACTCGCTTTAGTCATCTGTAGATAAAACAAAAACTAGAGCGATCATCACCAAAACACACACAAAGAGAAAATAAAAAAAAATAAAAGAACTGAGAAATCGGGATTTTACGTTTGTGACAATTGGAACATGAGATCGCAGAGCCATGAGCCGACTATGTAGCTTCTCTCTTCGACGTCTCTCAGCTTCAAGATTTGGAGATTTGAAGCTTTCATTGCCTTCATCTTCTTCTTTCTCTTTCCTTACTTGTCTCCTACGGCTAGTCT